TTTTCTTGGCACACTTTGAACCCATTAGTACCAATTGAGCATCGTTGTCAATGCCACACCCTACTTGAGTATTGTTGCTGACCATGTCCATCCCTTTATGACCACAGTGTACCCATCTTCTGATCGCTACTTCCAGCAGGATAATGCTCCATGTCATAAAGCGCAAATGATCTATAGTTTCTTGAACTGTGACGATGAGTTCACTGTACTTAAATGGCCTCCACAGTCACCAGATTTCAATCTAATAGAGCACCTTTGGGAATGTGGTGGAACAGGAGATTCGCATCATGGATGTGCAGCTAGCAAATCTGCAGCAACTGTGTGATGCTGTCATGTCAATATGGAGCAAAATCTCTGTGGAATATTTCCAGTATCTTGTTGAATCTACGCCATGAAGAATTAAGGCAGTTCTGAAGGCAAAAGAGGGTCTAAACCTAACAAAATGGGCAGGTGAGTGTATGTATATTTAATATGTTAGCATAAGCCTAAATATTCAAAGGAATTATTTAAGAAATATTACCAGCAATTGAAAATCCTTGTCTTTCAATGAATGTTTATTTCAAATGCCAGGATATTATTTTAATAAACATGCAATAAAAACGTTACATTATTAAAAACATTTTTGTCATAAAATCACACAATGGTAATTATGGTGCAAACAATCATGTTTAAACGTAAGAAAATTGATTATTTGATCCATCTGCTCAATCATTTCTGTTATAATCATACAATTAATAACATCTGTTTCCACAATAAGTAAAAAGCTGATTTATGATTTATGTACAATCGTGCTCCATCCATCCACAATGTCCTGCAGTCCTGCATGAGGTGATTTCAGCCTCTCCATGGTCTGCGGTGCAAAGCTTCACAGTTATCATGAGTGAAAACCAATTCCTGAAACAAATACACAGCGTTAGGATTTCCTCATAACAATGTAAAGATAGATAGATAGATAGATAGATAGATAGATAGATAGATAGATAGATAGATAGATAGATAGATGGATGGATGGATGGATGGATGGATGGATGGATGGATGGATGGATGGATGGATGGATGGATGGATGGATAGATAGATAGATAGATAGATAGATAGATGGATGGATAGATAGATAGATAGATAGATACTATAGATAGATAGATAGATACATACATAGATAGATAGATAGATAGATAGATAGATAGATAGATAGATAGATAGATAGATAGATAGATAGATAGATAGATAGATAGATAGATAGATAGATAGATAGATAGATAGATAGATAGATAGATAGATACTGTAGATAGATAGATAGATACTGTAGATAGATAGATAGATAGATAGATAGATAGATAGATAGATAGATAGATAGATAGATAGATAGATAGATAGATAGATAGATAGATAGATAGATAGATAGATAGATAGATAGATACTGTAGATAGATAGATAGATAGATAGATAGATAGATAGATAGATAGATAGATAGATAGATAGATAGATAGATAGATAGATAGATAGATAGATAGATAGATAGATAGATACTGTAGATAGATAGATAGATAGATAGATAGATAGATAGATAGATAGATAGATAGATAGATAGATAGATAGATAGATAGATAGATAGATAGATAGATAGATAGATAGATACTGTAGATAGATAGATACTGTAGATAGATAGATAGATAGATAGATAGATAGATAGATAGATAGATAGATAGATAGATAGATAGATAGATAGATAGATAGATAGATAGATAGATAGATAGATAGATAGATAGATAGATAGATAGATAGATAGATAGATAGATAGATAGATAGATAGATAGATAGATAGATAGATAGATAGATAGATAGATAGATAGATAGATAGATAGATACTGTAGATAGATAGATAGATAGATAGATAGATAGATAGATAGATAGATAGATAGATAGATAGATAGATAGATAGATAGATAGATAGATAGATAGATAGATAGATAGATAGATAGATAGATAGATACTGTAGATAGATAGATAGATAGATAGATAGATAGATAGATAGATAGATAGATAGATAGATAGATAGATAGATAGATAGATAGATAGATAGATAGATAGATAGATAGATAGATAGATACTGTAGATAGATAGATAGATAGATAGATAGATAGATAGATAGATAGATAGATAGATAGATAGATAGATAGATAGATAGATAGATAGATAGATAGATAGATAGATAGATAGATAGATAGATAGATAGATAGATAGATAGATAGATACTGTAGATAGATAGATAGATAGATAGATAGATAGATAGATAGATAGATAGATAGATAGATAGATAGATAGATAGATAGATAGATAGATAGATAGATAGATAGATAGATAGATAGATAGATAGATAGATAGATAGATAGATAGATAGATAGATAGATAGATAGATAGGATGAATGAATGTTATACCCCGTGACATTTCTGTGAGATGATGAAGTATAGTTGTCTGATAGCAGCACTAAGATTCTTCACTTTCCTGTTGTAGCCACATCTGCGTTCTCTCAGATCGCTCAGCATAGACAGATACGTGTTCATCGCAGACATCACACAAGCATTCTGTCCAAACAAACAATATATCACTGACAAGACATCTGTAAAATAATGTAAAATAATCTAATTCTAATAATAAAAACAGTCCATTCATTTTCTTTTCAGCTTAGTCCCTTTATTAATCTGGGGTCGCCACAGCGGAATGAACCGCCAACTTATACAGCATATGTTTTGCGCAGCGGATGCCCTTCCAGCTGCAACCCATCTCTGGGAAACCCATCCATACACACTCGTTCACACTCATATACTATGGACAATTTAGCCTACCCAATTCACCTGTACCGCACGTCTTTGGACTGTGGGGGAAACCCACGTGAACACAGAGAGAACATGCAAACTCCACACAGAAACGCCAACTGACCCAGCCGAGGCTCGAACCAGCAACTTTCTTGCTGTGAGGCGACAGTCCTACCTAATGCGCCACTGCATGGCAATAAAAACAATAATTTAAAATCTTATTAAAAATAATATTTATTAATAATAATAACAATAATAGCATTAATAATATTTTATAATAATATTATTTCAGTAATAAAACTATAATAAAAACTATTATATTTTATTATGCATTTATAATGTGATTTTTATAATATTTTATTTTATAACTTTTTATTATAATATTTTTAGTTCTGAAATGGTGATAATCATAAATATTGTTATTATTAATAGGGTTTTTTTTTACATTTCAGGCAAACTTTATCATTTAAATGCTTAATGCACATTGTAAATATATCTTGGTAATCTAATATATCTAAATATAGATTATAAATAAAATATCATTAAAGCATTTTAAATGGCATACTTATTAATTTGCAGGATACCAGTATTCAGTTAAATCATGTTAACTAGGCAATTTTGGTTAATTAGGCAAGTCTTTGGGCAACAGTGATTTGTTCTGTAGCCAACAAAACATTCTTAATGGTGCTAATAATATTGACCTTCATATTTATTTATTTATTTGTTTGTTTGTTTGTTTGCATATTTATTCTAGCCAAACCAAAAAAAAAAAAAAAAAACTTTCTCCAGAGGAAAAATATAACAGGAAAAACTATGAAAATTTGTGAAATATTTTTCAAAAATAATGAAAATTTCACAGAAGGTCTAAGACAGTGGTTCTCAAACTTTTTTCATCAGGTACCACCTCAGAAAATAATTGTCTCTCCAAGAACCACCATAATGAGCAGTATTGAAATACAGCAGCGAAGGCCTGATGAAGCAGCTACAGCTCTGCACAATTCAAAAATGAGGCAGATGAATAATAATTCAAAATATTTATTATTATCAGCCATTTCAAACATTATAGTTAGAACATTAACACTGTACTGTGTTATATGTAAAAAATAAATAATAAATAAATAAAAATAAAACGTTTAAATTAAAATAAGCTTTTAAAAGTTCAAAATGAAAGGTTACTGTTCTTGAAAAGAAAAGAAAAACTTCTGTACTTAAATGTAAAGTATTAATGTTTCCTGGACCTTAGAAATATAGGCTATTTGACATCATATTCATATATACAGTAAATCATTTTTGATACATTTTAAACATATGTAGCATGTACATATGCCATATTTGATTCCTCCGTGTACCACTAGAAGAAAGTCCGCGTACCACTAGTGGTACACGTGGTGAATTTGGGTATAATCTGGGACATTGGGTAATCTGGGACACCTAAGCTTCTGTGTGTTTATTTCTGTTCTAACAAAATTTAGGCAACATGACTTTTATTGTAAATTTAGCATGGACTTCATGTGAGTAAATTCACATTACTTCATTGGGGTATTCCATAGAGGGGGGGGCAGGGCACTCGTCAATCAGCAAGCTCAGTCAGTGACATAGGATTCTGACTAGATTTATGTTAAGGACATAAACCTGTCATAAATAAGACAATATTCCCAATTGTTGTTAAATTATGTTTGTGATCTATTCAAGTAACAAAATATGTATTAAAGTGTTGAAAACTATTAAAGTGTTGAGAAATATGCATTTAGAAACTTTGTAAGTTTAATGACTGCAAAGATGGAATGTACAATGTGCTGTACACAAACACACACACACACACACACACACGTACACACACACACACGCACACACACACACCCTTAAACACAGTCTTTCTCTCTCTCACACACACTTACACACACACACACACACACACACACACACACACCCTTACACACAGTCTTTCTCACACACACACACTTTTTTTAAAATTGGTCAAATTGAGTTTGGCATGCATAAATATGGCAAATATATACTTTTTTAGTCCAAATACATAATGTCCCAGATTGCGAAGTGACCTGTCCCAGATTATCAAATTCAGGCAGAATTTTTGTTTTTGACAAATACATACTAATAGGTGTGGCATGGCTCTTCTCAGTATAATATCTCTATTATGTTTTCTTAGGTGGTTAGAAAACATCTTAGGGATTTCAGAAAAGTCTCATATGTGGTTCTAATTAGTTAGACAGACATTAAAATAGAGAGTCAAAATTGCAAAAAGTGTCCCAGATTACCCGAATTCACCCTACCATAGTCAGAGAACCACTAGTCTAAGAAGTTTTTCTTCAACTGCATATATTAAAAATAGTATTTTTTTGTATCTAAATCTGCAATGTGCTTGTGAAAAAGGAGCTGTTTCTAAAATACAATAAAGTTTTTTTTTCTTCCTCTGCACGACTGAAATATTCTGCAATACACTGCAGTGATTATTACTTTGTTTTAAAAAAGTGAGTAAACCAAAGTATCCAGGTGATGTCTAAGAATCCTGCCCATCAACTCATACACTATAAACTGATCCACAAAGCTTATGCAACTCCATATGTGCTACACCGCATGAAACGGTTACCTGCCCCTTTTTGAACATTGTGTAATTCAAACTCTGTGGGGACATATATGCATATGTTTTTTGAATGTCCACTTATCAGTACATTTTGGGATAAGGTATTTCAAACTACTTCAGAATTGTGTGAGATGTTCATTCCCAAATACCCTAATATCTGTTTATTGAATGATGATTATGATCTAAACCTAAACACTTCCCAACGCAGGATATTTCATACTGCACTAACTGCAGACAAGAAAGTTATATTTAAAATATGGCATGAACCCTCATTCCCAGCGGATAAAATGTGGCTTATTGAACTAAAAAATATTGCACTGTTAGAACGTTCCACTGCAAGAATTAACAGAGCTAAACCCCATACAATCAAAGCATGGTCTGATTTTATTGAGAAAATTTCTTATATAATAACGAGTTAATTCTCACCCCAGAGCTTTTCTTTTTCTGTGTATTGTTATTCATTTATTATTTTAGTGTTTTCATTTTACTATTAATATTATTTGTAATTTCTTTATGTATTTTTATTTAATGCAAACCCTGGCTTGTATATAGTTGTTGATGGCTATGTATGCTGGCTTTGTTCTGCAATAAATAAATAATCATAATTTTTTTTTTTTTTTTAAAGTAAGTAAACCCAATTGACTTAACTTTTATAATTATGCGTTTGTTTACTTGATAATTAAGGCAACGAGTTTCCTCTCTACTTTAAAGTTAAGTCAACTAATCTTTTATTTACAGTGTAGTGTGTGATTCTGCACTTACATGCACATCAATGTACAGGTCCGGCAGGTGAGCGGTGCATCTGTGCTGCAACACAAACACAACAAAACGTCAACCACTGTTGTACTCACAGCTGTACTCACGTTATCTCCGTTCGCGCACTCACAGTGTCATAGTCTTGTTTAATTTCTGCCGCCCTCTGCGTGATATCTCTGCCCATGTTCAGGACTTTGGTGTAGCAGGTTGGAGGGATGGGGTACAGCTGAGCCCAGACAGTGGGCATCCCGAGAACCAGCAGTGCGTAGAATAGCATTCTGTCTGCTCGCTGTAAACACACACTCTGAGCGCTGCTTTTATATAACACGCGCACACACTCAAACATGCCGAGGTCATAACCAAACATGGCATGATATATGAATCAATTAAGATGGAATGCGCATCATCGTCTTGTCCAAATGCTTTTTTGTTTTCTGCTGCTTGTGGTCGACCAGCCAAATGTTGTCATTGTCTCGACAACTACACACCAAATGAATTATTTGACATTTTAAACAATGAAACTTGTAAACAATGACATACACTTTAATTATTTCAATATTGAGCTCTGTGTCCACATGAAAAAAAAACAGTGTTAAACTGCAATAAGTAAATACTATTCACTACTTGACAAAAGTCTTGTCTATCCAAGTTTTAGAATCAACAAATAATAACTTGACTTCTAGTTGATTATTTGGTATCAGAAGTGGCTTATATGAAAGGCAAAGGCCTCTAGATGACGCTTTTTTGACCACAATAAAATATGATCATGCCTTGATTTTTAATGATTTAATTATCACAGTAAGGTCTGACTTTGCTGAGACTAAAGTCTCATCACTGAACAGAAATAATGTCCAGTATAGAATATAAAGTCCTGCTGCAGTGGAGACAGAATGAATATTGTGTCTGACTCCATCATGAGCGTGGAGGACTGCATCCATACATCTCTGACATGACTCAAATCACTGATTAATAAAGTCATCTGGAATGAAGAAAAAAGCCGTGCAGGACTCCCAGAGTTCATCAAGACTCTTTGGATTCATCTTCAATGCCTCCTCCTTCATCTTACCCCAGCCATGCTTAATAATGTTCATTTCTGGTGACTGAGCTGGCCAATCCTGAAGCACCTTGACCTTCTTTGCTTTCAGGAGCTTTGATGTGGAGGCTGAAGTATGAGAAGGAGCGCTATCCTGCTGGAGAATTTGCCCTCTCCTGTAGTTTGTAATGTGAAGGGCAGCACAAATGTCTTGATACCTCAGACTGTTGATGTTGCCATCCACTCTGCAGATCCCTCGCACGCCCCCATACTGAATGTTACCCCAAACCATGATTTTTCCTTCACTAAACTTGACTGATTTTTGTGAGAATCTTGGGTCCATGCGGGTTCCGATAGGTCAGGGGTGTGCAAACTCAGTCCTGGAGGGCCGGTATCCTGGAGAGTTTAGTTCAAACCCTGATCCAACACACCTGAACAAGCTAATCAAGCTCTTACTATATATCCTAGAACGGGCAAACTCGGTCCGGGAGGGACGGTGTCCTGCACAGTTTAGCTCCAACTCTAATCAAACACACCTGCTTATAGATTTCTAGTGATCTTGAAGACACTGATTAGCATGTTCAGGTGTGTTTAATTAGTGTTGGAGCTAAACTATGCAGGACACACTGGCCCTCCACGAATGAGTTCGCCCACCCTTGTCCTAGAAACATCATGGCAGGTGTGTTGAAGCAAGTTGGAGCTAAACTCAGCAGGACACCGGCCTTCCAGGACTGAGTTTGGACACCCCTGCACTAGGTTTTCTGCAGTATTTGTGAGGATTGGGATGCAGTTCAACAGATGATGATGAAAATTGACCTTCTGCCACTTTTACAAATGATCAACTAGAAGTCGAGTTATAATGTGTTGCTCTACAACTGGGATCGACGACAAGACTTTTGTCAGGTAGTGTATATAACATATTTTCAATTAGGTTCTTTGTATTTTTAATTTTGTGGGTTAGAATAATACCAAATAATATTTGTTTCATTGATGATGGTAATTTATTTAAATAATTATGTAATTAGGGTGAAGTCAGCTATAAGCCACGGTTTGATAAACATCTAATAATACCATTGAAAATGCTAAGCATGAGATCTAATGATATTTTAACATTAACACAGTTGTCCTAAATATATATGCATATTTCAAATGTGGGAAAAAATGCAAGTGTTTTAAAATGAAGAGAGTTTAAGTATTGACAGGTCCTTTCTTGAGCCCAACATTTAGGTAAAATGGGCCAGCTGTTCAGCTAAAATGGACCAATATTAAAAGCGAACAACACAGATATTTAAGGCTGAAATTACTGTATTTTCACCAGTAAACTGAGACTTGTCTTTAGTGGACGTAACATAAATTTATAGGCTTTGCAAAACAAATTTGAACAAATTTCCTTAAGCTATAGGCTATGTAGATGCCCTTTGGTTTCCATGAACGAGACAGAGAGTTTCTGACGGGTGCTTGATTCTTTATTTTGCTCAAGACGAGAGCCATTAAACTTTCGTTGCGTAGCACCGTGAAACTCGCTCCGCTTTCCCAAAGGGTTCTATTAAATAAATTGTGCAGGATTAAGCCTCCTTTTTCCGTAAATCGCACAGCAACGTGTGTTCTCTTCGCTCCTGCTAGCCTGATTAACCTATTAGTCACCTAGGCTACCGAAACACGTGACATGCTCTGATGCTCTAAAATTATTTAAAGGCATATAATGATTTAGTGGTCACTTACACTCCCACCAATCATTTTATGATAAATTGAAAGAACAAACTGAAATTAATCAGAACATGATTTTGAACTATAACATGACCACGTTTACTTTTCATGACTATCAAGTATTTCAGAAATAATTATTTGGTCTGATGAGAGTGTATCATCCCAGTTACTAACAGTCAGTCTTCTTCAAGAAGTACAACTAATTTCTGAATCGGTCTTTCAATGATTGAGAGCTTGGGGGTCTGATTACGTTTGTTAGTGAGCTTTCGTTCTGCTACTCGTACCTTTACTCGTCTCACAAATCCATCACTCTCTTTGACAGTTTCAACCACTCTGCCCAACTGCCATTGACTTCTTGGGAGCATATCCTCTTTGATTATTACAACATCATTTACTCTGAGGTTTCTGCGAGGAGTGTGCCACTTTTGGCGTGTTGAAATGTTAAGCAAGTATTCCTTCTTCCAGCGACTCCAAAATTGCTCAACCAAGTATTGGACTCTTCGCCATCTTTTTGTAGCGTACATGTCTTCTTTAACAAATTTTCCTGGAGGTGGAAGTGCAACATCAGACTTCATAAGTATTAGGTGGTTTGGAGTTAGAGGCTCTAGTGAATTTGGATCATTAATGCCATCTACTGTAAGCGGGCGACTGTTAACTATGGCCATTGCCTCATAGAACAATGTTCTAAGTGAAGCATCGTCAAGTCTACCAGGACACAGTGCAATTGTGGCATTAAGTACACTGCGCACAGTTCGTATTTGTCGTTCCCAGACACCTCCAGTGTGACTTGCAGAAGGAGCATTAAAGGCAAACTCACATTGTTTCTCTGCGAGAAAGACTTCCAGAGTTTTGATGTCGACTTGTTTCAGGCAATCTTTGAATTCGTTCCTGGCCCCGACAAAGTTTGTACCTTGATCACAATAAAGTTTGCAAACTGCTCCTCTGAGGCTTATAAAGCATCTCAATGCATTGATGAAGGCATCTGTGGACAAATCTTCAATCATTTCAATATGAACTGCGCGAGATGACAAACAAGTGAATATTAGACCGTATCGCTTGTATTCTTTGCGAGCTCTCTTCACGACAAATGGCCCAAAACAGTCCATGCCACAAAATGTAAAGGGAGCAGATACTTCGACACGCTCCTTGGGAAGTTCGGCCATTCGTTGTTCTTCTGTCGGTCGTCTAAGTCTTCGACACTGCACACACTTGTGTATCAGCTTAGCAACTGATTTGCTACCTCCAATGACCCAGAATCCATTCATTCTAAGCTGCATTTGAGTTTGAGTTCGACCCTGATGGCAAATTTTGGCATGATAATGTGACAGAATTAGCTTGGTGATGTAACTATCCCTTGGTAGAATCACAGGATGTTTGAGGTCTTGACTGAGTGATGACTTCTTCAATCTTCCCCCTACCCGAAGAAGACCTTTGTCCAAAACAGGATCCAGTTGATACAACGCACTAGAATTTGGAAGAGCATTCCCATTTTCAATCATTCTCATTTCTTTGGAAAATGCTTCCTGCTGCATGAGCTTGATCACCACTTCAGCAGCTCTCTGACGCTCCTCAACAGTTATATGGTCAGTGGAGCATTTCTTTTTCAATCCAAGTCTTTTTATCCTTGCCACAACCTTCAGAAGCATTGACCAGCAAGAAAATCGTCTGAAACGACTTAAAATGTCAGAACTGTCACTAACTGTGGTCACAAATGTTTGGACTGGTTTAACTTCGGGGTCACCAACAAGCAAATTGGCAGAGGTATGTGGTGTTGGATTCACTTCTTGTTCCCACAGAAATTTGGGACCTCTTAACCAGGTTGAAGTAGCAATGTCAGAGGCATGAAACCCTCGAGAAGCATGATCAGCCGGGTTCTCTAAGGTATTAATATAGTACCACAGGCTTGGATCTGTAATGTCCCTTATGAGTTGCACACGGTTAGCAACGAATACATGAAACCGTCTTGCTTCGTTATTAATATAAGCCAAAACAACCTGTGAATCTGTCCAAAAGAATTCTCTGTCAATCTTCATTTCAAGCTCTATCTTTAGCATGACACTTATCTTTGCAGATAGAACAGCCGCCGCAAGTTCCAGTCTTGGTATACTTGTGACTTTTGTAGGTGCGACTCTAGCCTTTGCCATTACCAAACTGCAGTGCACTTTACCTTTGTCATTTTTGAAACGAAGATAAGAGCAAGCTCCATATCCAATGTTGCTCGCATCGGAGAAGTGGTGCAGCTCCGTTTCAATGATCTCATTGAAGGTGTCAGGGTGATAACATCTTGGTATGACAACTTCTTTAAGCCTTTGAAGTCCACCTTTCCAATCCTCCCACCGTGAATACATGTCTTCTGGTAGCTGATCATCCCATCCAATGTTTTTCCGACATAGTTCCTGCAGGATGCACTTTCCCTGAAGAATAAAGGGTGCCACAAACCCAATTGGGTCGAACAGGGAACTAATGACAGACAAGATTCCACGGCGGGTCGATGGCTGATCTTTATAGTTGATGTTGAATTGAAAATTGTCATCCCTTGTTGACCACTGAACACCAAGTACACGTCCTGTTGGTGTTGCTTCAGGGTTTAAATTGAGAGGTTTAGAGACAATATCCCTTTCAGATGGGTCTATGCAGCAGAGAACATCTTCCTTATTGGAGTTGAATTTATGAAGCCGTAAACCTCCTTGTTTACAGAGTGCTTGAGCATCAGTAATTAGTTCCTTGGCTTCATCAATTGAACGAACACTGTCTAGCCCATCGTCTACATAGAAGTTTCTTTTAACAAACTCTGAAGCTGTTGGGTGTTTAACTTCGTACTGCTGTGCCAGGTACTTCAAACCGAAATTGGCACACCCAGGAGACGATGTAGCGCCAAAGAGATGGACTGTCATGCGATAGTCTTGAGGCTCTTTCTCCCAGTCTC